GTTTGTGACATCCAAGCTGTGGAACACCAAGCACCACCCTGAGGATGTGGAGCCTGCCTTCCGGAAGACACTGGCTGACCTCCAGCTGGAGTATCTGGACCTGTACCTGATGCACTGGCCTTATGCCTTTGAGTGAGCCTTGCCAGGGTCTTCCTGTGGGAGTCAGGAAGTTTAGTGGGGTGGTATTAGTAACTTACTGTAAGTCACAGCAGCAGAGCAGGATAGGAACACTCATCTGCGTAGCAAGCTGAGGAGCTTGACGTGGGATCTTAGTCTTTTCTGTCATAGTAGCCAGGAGTTTAGCTCTAGAAAAAGGAAGGCAGCTTCACATGGTATGCCCAAGGGTGTACTTGGCTGTCCCTCCTGGTCCCATTATTCCTTCAGGAAATGTGCTGACCCTTTTGTTGAACTAGGCCCTGGGATTATAGTAATGAATAAGTCCCAGCAGAGGGTGTGATAAGAGCCCACTATCAGCACTGTGCCCTGTGCTGGAAGAAAGCTGGAAGAGTAGATAACTCCCCAAGGAGGAAGGAGTTAAGGAAGACTTCCCAGGAGAAAGGCGACAGGAGATAGCGTCTAGGAAGAACGGGGGCGGGGGGAGGGGGCGGGGAATAGGTATTCCACGTAGACTTAACACCTGCATTACAACCTGGAAGGATGAAAAAGCGTGGCTGTTCCTAATTTTTGGCTCTCTGCCCTCTCTGGGCTTGGAGTTTGGGACATAGAGTAGCTGGATGATCAGGTACGGCAGAAGCCTGGCATTCGTGCCCACAGTTGGGGGGCTCTCTCTCACTCAGGCGGGGAGACAACCCCTTCCCCAAGAATGCTGATGGGACCATCCGCTATGACTCAACCCACTACAAGGAGACCTGGAAGGCTCTGGAGGCACTGGTGGCTAAGGGGCTGATACGGGCACTGGGCCTGTCCAACTTCAACAGTAGGCAGATTGACGACATACTCAGTGTAGCCTCTGTGCGCCCAGCTGTCTTGCAGGTGAGCATAGCACACAGATCAGTGGTTTGGGGGTTGTGTGCACATAAGTGTAAGTGAGCCGGTGGTGGGGCCTGCTCAGTGGGGATGGCTAGCAAGTTGTCAGAAGTACTGGTGCATAAAGGCAGGCATTGAAGGTCTGGGAGAGAATGGAAAACGGTGAGAAAAGCAGGCTGAGTGAAAGTGGGTGGTCGGCAATGGGGAGTTGGCCCAGACATGCATGACTAGGTGGGGCTGGGCAAAGTGGGTATGACTACCCATGGTGATGGCTTGTTTCTTGGCTCAGGTGGAATGCCACCCATACTTGGCTCAGAATGAGCTAATTGCCCACTGCCAAGCACGCGGCCTGGAGGTGACCGCTTACAGCCCTTTGGGCTCCCCTGATCGTGCTTGGCGTGATCCTGGTGAGCCTGTCCTGCTTGAGGAACCAGTGGTCCTGGCACTGGCTGAGAAGTATGGCCGATCTCCAGCTCAGATCTTGCTCAGGTACAGGGCAGTCTTAGGGAAAGGCCTCCTGGGTTGGGAGGCAGGGGTAAGGGATTCCTTATTTTAGTGTGTGGGTGAGGCTGAAGATCTTGCCATGTGATATGAGGGGAGGCCACTCGGCATGTTTCCCATTCCAGGGGGGCTCAGGTGCTCCAGCCACTTGAGGAAGGCTGCATGGTGGACCAAAGAACGCTTATGAATACTGACTCCTTTTCCTCATCTACCTTAATCCCCAATTTAGGTGGCAGGTCCAGCGGAAAGTGATTTGCATCCCCAAGAGTATCACTCCCTCTCGTATCCTTCAGAACATCCAGGTACTTGGTAATGGATTGTGTCTTCTTTAGGTCCTTGGGATACTTTCTGGCCCCAACTCTACCTACCTAAAACGGCAGTGTTGTGGGACCCCAGCTTCTGCTCAGAAGGCTGGCTTTCCTGAACCCCGCTCTCTGTCCCCAGGTGTTTGACTTTACCTTTAGCCCAGAAGAGATGAAGCAGCTGGATGCCCTGAACAAAAATTGGCGATATATTGTGCCCATGCTTACGGTGAGGATGTATCACTCCTCAGAGTCAGGGAGTGTAACGTGGGATTTGGGGTGGGGCTCTGGTGTGGGTCTGGCCTCAGGCTTGCTGGTTGTGGGAGGGAGATGGTGGGATTGCTATCCTGGATATACTGCTTTCTTTTCACTTTCCTGAGCTCAGGGAAGTAGTATGGCTCAGATAACGGATATAACCTGTAAGCCCAGTCCTACTTCTTGATATATTATAATCTAGAGCAAGTTATTTAACTTCTCCAAGCCTCAACTTCCTATCTGTAAAATGAACCCAGCTCCTGACATGTGGCAGTTTCTCAGTAAATGATGCGAGGGGAGCCCTGAAGGCACTGCTGACCTCGTTAGAGGGGTTGGTTTGGGGGTGAAGTCTGCCGCACATGGGGAAATAAATAGTTCCTGGCCACTTGATCCCGGCTGAGACTACAGACTCTTAGGGCAGGAACAGCTTTGTGTCAGGCCATGTGCTTGGTGCAGGAACGCTGTTGATACTGTGGCATTCTCTGAATGGGGGGGGATCTGAGCCACTGCCACTTGGCATAGCACTGTACGCAGATGAGTTTGTTTAGGAAGATGCCCTGAGTGTTTGGAATGGCAGCTCCTGCTAACGGAGTCATCTATCTGTCTCTCTTTCCAGGTGGATGGGAAGAGGGTCCCAAGGGATGCAGGGCACCCTCTGTACCCTTTTAATGACCCGTACTGAGACCACAGCTTCCTAGTTTCCCTTCCAGCTCTCCAGCGATGAGGTCCTGCCACCCCAGAAAGAGGGAGTTAATAAAGTCATTGGAATATCAACATTGTTTGCTCGTTTTATTTGTCTGGTCAGGATGGAAGCTGTTTCCTGTAGGGATGACAGACCTAGGGGCTGCTGAGTGTGACCTGCCCTTGAAACCCAAACTTCTTATCCTTCTTGGTTCTGGAGGAACCTGCAGGGCAACTGAATTCCACTTCTGTATTCCTGTATTGGGCACGTTGGGGAGTAGCGCCATTTAGTGGCAGATCTCAGCACTGCATGTTTCCCTAGAGTTTTGCGAAGAGTGCGTGCCAAAGATCGGTCACCTTAGGAGTGAGATCAGGGCAGTAGTTCTGTGGTTTCAAGGCAGTGCTAGGCCTAGGCCTTGAGTTCCCATACCCCTGTCCGGGTAGTGCCTGGGTTTATGAATATGAAGAGCTGAACAAAGTTATATTTAGAAGTTTGGGGGTCCCACCTTGCAAAGCCAGGTAAAGCTTGCAAAGAAGGTGGAGATGGGGCTTTTTCTCTCAGACACTATAGTCAGTGTGCATAGGCTACCTGAAAGCGGTACAGTCCTGCCCAAACCTTGTTACTCTGCCCCTAAGGCCCTGTGTACTTTTTATCTGGCCACCAGAGGCCTGCTGATAAATGAATTTAGGAAGGGTCTAGGCAAATTTCTCTAAACTCCAGTCACACAAAACTCATTTTAGTTTCCAAGTCGGACCATTGCTGTTCATTCGAGAAGCATTTATTGGGCACTTGTGGGTTAGGCACAATGCTAGACCCTGGGGATATAGCTATAACCAAGACATACAGGTCCCTACAGTCTACCTGAGGAGACAGACTAAGTAATTAATTGCATAATTAGTTTAATTACAGTTGAATGTAGTGCAGGGTGAGAAGCGTACTTATTAAATCAGCTGAGATCTAAAGGATGAATAGGGATTAATTAGTTAAAGGAGGTGAAAGTGAGAATAGCATTCCATTCAAATTGGATAGCTTGGGGGAAAGCCTTGAAACTGGAAGAAGCTGCTGGAAAAACCTAAAGAAGGCTTGTGTTGACAGAAACTAAAAGTGAATAAAGAGCAGTTGGAGGTGGGTAAATGGTATGAAATTTGCTGGAATTGGTAGGACCTGGAAATGGAGGGCCTAGGAGACTGTTCAAGATGGTTTTTTTTTTACTCTTTTTTTTTTTTTTTGAGTCTGAGTCCTTGCTCTATTGCCCAGGCTAGGGTTCTGTTGCATCAACCTCTAGCTGACAACAGCCTCAAACTCCTGGGCTCAAGCGATCCTCCTGCCTCTGCCTCCTGAGTAGCTGGGACTACAGGTCCATACCACCATGCCCAGCTAATTTTTCATATTTTTAGTAGAGATGGGGTCTCGCTCTTGCTCCAGCTTTTCTGCAACTCCAGAGCTCAAGCGATCCTCCCACCTTGGCCTCCCAGAGTGCTAGAATTACAGGCGTGAGCTACCACACCCGGCCTCTTTTTTAATGATTAAGGCCATGTGAAGCCGTGGAAAAGTTTTGAGCAGGAGTAACATCGCATGATTTGTGTGTTAAAAACACAACCCTGGTACAGTGGAAAGAATGGATTAGAGGGGAAAAAAGTGGGTAGAAGGAGGCGTGTTGGAAGGTAGTCTTTTGTTTCTAATCCTTTCTATACACTGACCTGCCTAGAACAATCCACCATTTAGCCCACCCCTTAGTACTGGCTAACTCCTTTTAACACATTAACTTCCATGAGAGTTGTGTTTAACTCAGTCTAGTTTTGACCCCGGGGCTTCATGGAGCATATATAAAATCTTGTTGATGTTCTTATTGTTATAATTAATATTGCCAATTTAATTCTAAAAACGTGGATTAAATGAATAGAAAATAAATGTGTTTTTCTATTTATGTTTACCTTTAAATTACACTTGAAGTTTTTATTCTATTTTCATAATAAAACTCTGGCCCCAAGGAAAAGTTTCTGTTTTTTTGTGTGTGGTAGTCGATGTGTTAATTATGTGTTTGTCTTACCTGTTACTTCCTCTGGGATGTCTTTCCTGACCTCAGCCTTGTCAGGTGGACTGCTATGTGATTCCATAGCCCTAGCACATGGTTTCACGATCCAAATTTATACAGATCTGAGGTAGGGAAGTGTGTTAGGTTGCTAGGGCTGCCATAACAAATGAGACTGGGTGTAAACAGAAATTTACTTTCTCCCAATTCTGGAAGCTAGAGGTCTGAGATCAAGGTTGGCAAGATTGGTTCCTTCTGAAAGGCTGTGAGAGGTCTGTACTAGGCCTCTCTCCTTGGCTTGTAGATGGCCATCTTCCCCGTGTATTTTCCCATTGTTTTCCCTCTACCCATCTGTCCAAATTTCTTCTTATAAAGACACCAGTCATATTGAATTAGGGCCCATCCTAACAACCTCATTTAAGTTAACTCTTTAAGGACCCCATCTCCAAACAGTCACATTCTAAGTTCCTGGGGGTTAGGACTTCAACATATGAACCTGGGGGCGGAGGCACAATTCAGCTCATAACAGGAAGCAAAAGTGGTCATAACATGAAATTATTCACTAATCAACCACTTAGAAATTATTATTATTATTATTATTATTATTGTTTTCTCGAGATAGAATCTTGCTCTGTTGCCCATGCTAGAGTACCGTGGCATCATCATAGCTCACTATAACCTCAAACTCCTGGGCTTAAAGCAATCCTATTGCCTCAGCCCTCTCAAGTTGCTGGGACTACAGGTGTGTGCCACCACAGCCAGCTAATTTTTTTTTTTTGGTAAAGATGGGGGTCTCACTATGTTGCCCAGGCTAGTCTCAAACTTCTGACCTCAAGCAATCCTGCTGCTTTGGCCTCCCAAAATGCTAGGATTTGGATTACAGGTGTGAGCCACCATGCCTGGCCTAGAAATTATTCTTGATTCAAATATCTGACCTTGCTTAACATTAACATTGTCTACTGACATCTTTGTCTAATCACTGGACAAAACAGTACACATCCATTGTCAAGTAAAATTGTAAATCTTTCAAAAGATGCCATATTTTATGAAGCAATAAAAATAATATTGGGGAATTTCATGAATCATACCCAAAGCCATTAAAAAGTTAGGATCTGACAGTTAACCAAAAAAGAAAAAAAATAAAAAATGAGGACACTAGACTTCAAAAGAGGATGTTTGGTGGAATATCAGAGTATTAAGGATGGCTTTTGGGAAAACTATGAAGTCTTCAAATATTTATTCAAAAGTAATT